CTGGGGCTTGCTCTTCTGAAGCCAGTGAATTTTCGATTTAAAAACAAAGACAACAACAACAAAAGAAAACACAACACCAATCAATAGGGTTCAACTCTTCTGATTCGGCTGCTGCTCCCAACAATCATGAATGAACAACACGATAAAGTCAGAAGCTCTATCCTCCACGTCCCTCCTATTCTCTTCTCCCCCACCACATGTTGGCTCCAGCAGAAATGTTCCCTACTGCAGCCTGGTGTACTAAGAAAAATGAAAGGCAGCAGCTGTCTCCCTGAACATGCTGCAATCTAAATTGCAGTGAAACAGCAGCTCTTGCATTAAATGCTCAGCAGCAGGATCCCACAGCTGGCCCCAGAAGCGCTGCCTGCCAGGGGCTGAGATCTCCATTCTGACACACCCTGCAAATCAGACGGGCTGGAAGATTGCAGGGCAGTAACTGTATGAACACAGCCATACATTTCATCCGCGTTATCTAGCAAGTCTACAAGAAACAAACGTCATTTAAGCCTGTCTTGAGACTATATTCTACAAAATAGAACAAGCAATTGTTTTGGTGGCCTGTGTAATTTTTGGGGGCTGTGTATGGTTTTTTTTGTTGTTGTTGTCTTTGTTTTTAAATCGAAAATTCACTGGCTTCAGAAGAGCAAGCCCCAGATTCATTAGGATGAAGAACCGCACGGACGTATGTGGCTGACAAGAACACTCGGCATGTCTAACAGTAACACCAGAAAGACAGGAAAAAGTTAAAGGAGATAGACCTACCTGAAAGGTTCCCAAATGTCTCGCTAACCTGTCTAGTGACTATTTTTCTGCTAAGCTCTAAACGTTCCTATAGCTATGAGGTAATTATCTGAAAGAAAGGAAAGGCAGAAAGCTGCTCAGCCTTTATTTTTTACCAGGACTGTCTCATGGGATTCTACCACAACTTTGACCACAAGAAAGGATGGCAAATTTTGACTACAGAGCATTCATAACCAGGCAGCATTTTTTCCTCCTTACTCAAGTCCAGTAAGGGTTTAAAAGGGAAAAATATACAAAAGGGGACTGAAGAAGTTGTGTCGTACCTCTTTAGGCATTCGTCATCTATGGAGAAGAAGAAAACTCTAGCACTTTCTGTGCGTGGTAGAGAAAGAACCCTAGACAAGTACAAAGGGGTTTTAGCATCCTAAAAGGTCCTATCAAATCCCATGGGCACGAGTTAGAGCTGTAGTGCCTCAGAGAAATGGGATACACGGAAGAGCTTTCCTGCATAGTATGCAAATAAAGCCTTCTATAAAAAGACCCCACGTTTGACACAAAAACTGACTGTGTCTTTGCCTTGTGGCCAAACTCAGTTTGGGGTTGGCCAAACCAAAACAACCCAGTCCATTTCTTGTGCTCAGCTTCTCTCTCTTCACATTCAACTTCACATCCAATGGGCTGCTGGGACTCTGGACTCCACACAGCACCAGTGGTTTTCCAAGATGACTTTCCTTGCTCAGAGGTGTGCAGTGTCAGTTTCCCATTTCCTCAGTGCTGCCACTAATATTCCCACAGCATCCAACTACTACAGCCAAGTAGACAACAAATACAAATGGAACTTGCCTTTCTTGGTGCTTTGCAATTTCTGACATCATCAGCACCCTCAGAAGTGATGTCTTGGAAATGTGAATCCTCTTGCCACGTGACTTTTTCCGGTTTTATCGTTCCAAGTATGTGAGGCCCTGCAAAACCAGCAGCAAAAGAGAAAGAAAGCCAAAACCAGATTATTTCTCTGCTTGCCAGGAAAAATTCCTTCTTTCAAGTGAAATATTTATACCGGGAAAGACAGATTTAGGAAGGACAGAATCTTCTCCTCCCTGATTTCCTGAGCTGTAGCTCTGCTCCAGGATCTTCCACTTTCTTCTAGGCATCTCCTATGTATTCCTAAATATTTATCATTGCATCCAGAAGACAGTGAATAGCTCCTGAATACAGCACAAGTGTGCTGGGCTTGTTGCTTTGTGTTGTTGCATTTTAATATTTTGGATAACTCGGCACGGTTTCCTTTCATTCCTACCTGACTGTGACTTGATTAAATATTCCTTCATCTTCATTTCATAAGGCCTCACTTTATCTGAGGTTAGGACACCCCAATGATCCTTCAGTGTCATTCAGTTTCCTTTTTCTGAAGGTCCAGGAATAGAATTTGGTAACTAACAGAATGTTCATGGAGCTTGGGGTCAACTCCAGGATTTTGCTCCTCCCTCTACCTTAACACCCATTTTCCTTAAAATCCTCTTGGGCTCTAGGTAACTTGGTATGACTGCTGTGTCACCTTTTTCCTTGTTTGAGAAGTTTAGGGCACAACAAGAAGCTTTTTCACCACTCTGCAAAAATCCCAATGCCTTCTCAAGGCGTGCACCTCGAAATTCCTGAGATGCAAGCAGGAGTTACCTCTCATTAATCTCCCACAACCTTGGCAAGTAGAAATGAAGATCAAAATACTTCTGCATAATTACTAACTTCTGCTGCTGAAAATCCTCTGGATTTAATCCTCTGGATTAAAATCCTCTGACCTTCTTCACACCATATTGCTCTACAGTGCCTGCCAGAAGCTGTTCCTTAGAAATGGCTCCGTTAGGAGGGTTCTGCTGTTACCTTCTTTGATGCCCAACTCCTCTGTGTCTTCAAAGAAGGAAAACTTGAAAGCACTCGACTCCTGAGTTCCGTCGTTTTCAGGCAAAGGTCCCAGACATTCGTCTGGGGCAGAGTCCTGCGCATCCTCTTGGTCCCAGGCTATTTCCACAGTCTTTTCCGGTTTGACCTTTGAAGGTCCAAGCAAGTCTTTTAAATCAGCAGCAGTGTCGCAGTCGATTTCTCCAGACACTTGAGGCAGTGTCTCACTCTCTTCCTTCTCCCTCTGCTTTACTGAAGAAAGGCTTTACTGAAATGAGATTGATCAAGGATAGCAACACAGCCCACGGCCTTTTCAAAGACAGCTTCCCTAAGAGCCACCTTGCTCGTCATGTCTCCCTAAACGTATCCAAGCCATTAAGGACTGGTTCACTTTCAAGGGGAAGCAGTGGGGAAATATCTGTCTAAAGGCAGCAATGAGTGTCCTTTTTAATTAGCTATGTCCTCAGGTGGCTTTTCCCTTCACAATACATGGTAACATAGAAATCAAGGATCACAGAAATGCCAAGAGCTAATCTGGGTTTTCCACAGACCTGCAAATCTCAAGGTCCCTGTACTGACCCTTCTCACCTTCACTTACAGCCACAAACA